GTGCCCAGCTGTGGCCACTCTCGTGGGCTCCTGGGAGGCACTCCCAGGAGCGCCGCGAAGTGCACAACCGTCGTGGCTTTCGTGGGCTCTTGGGAGGTCCAGCAGAGTGGAGGGCCATGCAGCCGTGAGCTCCGTGAGCGATACATGACAAAACTCTGAAGTGAAGCTCCCTACCGGAGCCAATCCACCCAGGCCCGCGAGAGACAGGCACGAGGGAGGAGAAGCTGGAGGAGATGGAAGCCGAGGATCACGCCCGCAACACCTGGACCAGCACTCAGGCCAGCCTGCCATACACCTCGACGAAGCAGGAAGTAGGAAGGCGTTGAACACAGATTGGGTTTCCGCCCGCCCCGTGAAGAGAACGGAGAAGGCGAAGCCACTCGATCATTGAAGCAGGAAGGCGCCTGGACTCCAAAACTACCTACTTTCAACGACCGATTGGTACCCCTCAGAGCTCCGCCGCCCTGGGGCAAGCGGGGCGAGCCAGGGCCCCCCCCCCGCCACAAACGTCACCCCTCCCGAGGCCCGGGCACGGGCCCCCAAAGGCCGACCATATGGCGAAGCACCGCCCGCCATAACGGTTTCGGGGGAGGAGCGACGAGGGAGAGGAAGGAGGAGAAGGAGGAGAAAGGAGGAGGAGGAGGAGGAGGAGGAGGAGGAAGGAGGAGGGGGAGCCGTGGCACGCAACCGAAGCCTCGAGCATCCTGGCAGACGCGCAGAATAACATCACGGCACCGGGCCCACGAGCACCGTGCGGCAGACCCGTGCCTTGTGCCGACTTCGGCGCTGGCTTCTTACACCGCGAAGATTACGTGACCGTCTCTTTATTAATTGTTTTGCCGATCGGCGCGGGCCCTCGCACCCCATCCCATCCCCTCCCTCCCACCCCCCATGGAATAGATCCTGGCTGCTTTTGGCGCCTGTTTCGAGCAGGCGGAGCCTCCCCCACAGGACGCACTGCTGCAACAGTCGCACTACTCTGAGTACCTCGATAGTTCTGGGCCCCCGGACTACCAGGGCCCCCCGGACTACAAAGACCCATGCGGACTACAAGGATCCCCCGCCCCGGACTACAGGGACCCCCCCCAGACTACCAGGACCCCCCCCCCCTGGACTACAAGGGCCCCCTCTCCGGACTACTGCAAGGACCCTCCGGACTACAAGGACCCCCCCCGGGCTATAGCCCCCCCCCCCCCCCCGGACTACTGCCGGGACCCCCCCCCCCCGGACTACAAGGACCCCCCCCGGGCTACAGCCACCACGCCCAGCACGAGAGCTATACGGGCCACCTGCCCCCCAGACTGCAAGGACCCCCCCCCAAGAAGGCCCCCTCCCCCCGGACGACAGGGCCCTCCCCCTGGACTATACAGACCCCCCCCCCGGACTGTATACAGGGTCCCGCCTCGGACTACCCTGACCTTCCAGGAGGGCTAAAACATAGCACCAGGACATCGACTTCCTAATGTATGTCGAGGTTTGAGGCAGTCCAGATAGGTTTCTAAGTCTGGAGTGTTTTTTTTGGCACTCTGGAAGGTCAGGGTACAGGGACCCCCCCCTGGACTATTGGTCCCCCCCCCGGAACTGTTGAGGTACTCGGAGTAAGCAGAGGTCCGGAGCCAGACAGGGTCGAACGAGTATACCACATCCCAGGGCCCGCCACGCGAAAGCCCTCCAGTTTCGGTGCCTTCTTGGTGCTCGAGAGTCTTTCTGAAGATCAAGGCCAAATTATAGGTTGGAACATCACAGCGCGAGGATCGGTCCACCTTGGAACGATCGGCCGTTCCCGACGCGTCGGATCTCGGGGGTGGCCAAGAGGGGGGGGCCTCCAAGGGGAAGGGGGGGCGCAGATCATGGCCGGCGGCATGTGCACGGCCACGGAAGGGGGGTAGGCGGAACGGACGCCAGGAAATCAGGGGAGATAGCGTGGCCCCCGCCATGATATCCACCCCCCCTAGTCGTCACCCCCTTCTTGGCCGCGCCCGAAGACAAGAAAGCCCAGAATCGAATCGAGAAGTCGGGCTGGCGATCGGCATGAACTGGATCGGCAAAAAATCGGCGGCCAAGTCGGGAACAGTGGAAAAATGGCCGACATCGGCAGGCTAGGTTGTGCCTCCCATGAGAAAGCAGAACCCACACTGGAACCTCACGTCGAGAAACGAATCGGGACCGGAAGCCGTCGAAGTCGAAGGACTCGAATCGGAGGGCTCGAGACGAGCCCTGCCGAAGAGCCTTCAGCATCGACCGCTTCTGGGGAGGGGGACGAAAAATGATAGAAACATAAAAACTCGGAGGTCCGCGCGGATTTCTTGGATCCGCGCTGGACCCCCCTCCTTGGCGCGCGGAGCGCCCCAGGGGCGGCGCCAGAGGCGCCGCCAGGGGGCCCGAGCGCCGATCCGAGAAATCCGCGCAGACCTCCGAGTTCTTCTGCTTCTGCCGCGGCTCGTCCCCTATGGGCCGCCACGTGGTCGGCACTGCGCGTCCCTGCCGTGCTTTTTTGTTTGTTTTCTCCGTTTCGGGGATGGACAGTACCCCCCTTCAGCAAAACGTGGTTTCTGGTGACAGCGGCCTCGGGCCCCAGATCCTCGCGGGCGCGAGCCTGGGAAGAATGACGGCCGCGGCGCCCGCGCTCGAGGGCCGAGGGCGGACCGTGCACGAGTCGGCGCGTCGGGCTGGGGGGCCTCCTGCCCCTCCCCGACGGCTGCCGCCTCCGCCGGGTCTCCTCGGAGAGGGTGCCGCCCGTGGCCGCCTCGCGGCGCAGGGCGTCGGCCTGCGGCGCGAGGCGGGCGCGCAGCTCGTGCTGCAGGGCCTCTCGGGTCTCGCGTGCGGGCAGCGTCTGGGCCCACATCCAGTGGGTCTCGGAGGCTCGGGCGCTCTTCCTCAGCAGCACGAGGCGCACTGGATGTGGATCAAGATCTGGCCCCAAAAAGGCCCGATCGTGATCCATATCCAGAGCGCCTCGGCCTTGCGGCGCCACTTCCGGGAGAGTCCAGGACGCACTGGATATGGGTAGAAGTAGTGCCAGCATCGTAGAGCCCTAGAACGATGTTGTCAGGGCTGGATGGAGCCCTGGCAGGATTTCTTCAGAGCTGGGATGCGAACTCGATCCAGCCCGATCGAAATTTGAGAACTAGATCCAGCCTCAGTGGGTTTCCGTTACAGGCCTCCGAAGAAATTAGCGAACACTCATGCCGCAGTCATCTATCCATGCACCCCCAATGATCAATGTTGGCGGTGGGTTGGATGAGCTGCACTTCGACCGCAGTCTTCCCCGCGCGTGCCAACTTTGAGTTTCGGGGAGCGGGGGAGTGTCCACTCATTGTTTCTTTCTACCGTTAGCATAAGAGCTGGATCGACTCCTCGTAAGCCTTTTTTATGGTCGGTTTCCCGTCCTCCGTCGATCCCTGATCGATCCTTCGATCCTGCAGTGCCCTCCGCGAATCTTGCAGCAGACTTTGCGGCCACCTCCTCCTCCTCCTCCTCCTCCTCCTCCTCCTCCTCCTCCTCCCTCTCCTCCTCCTCCTCCCCCCCTACGCCCCGGTTCCGGCGCGGTCTGCGGACGCCGACGGAGCACACGGAGCCATGTGTCGCGGCATCAGCATTGGACGTGGGGGGTCTGGGGGCGCCGATATCGCGCGGGCCCTGGAAGCATAATGCAACCTCTGTCTTCGAGTTCTTCGTGCTCGTCGCATTCGGCGTTTCATCGTTGTTCACCTCGGGGGGCCGTTCCCGATACCAGTGACCGTCAGAAGCGGACGGGGATGACAAACTGCGTCCAGGGAGAACCCATGGACGATTCTTCGACACGACCTGCAAAAGTTGCATTCCTTTCTCTGGAGATGCGTGGGGAAACAACCACGAGATCAGTGACACGCAACGGTGGGGAACCATCAGCGTGACACTGTTGAGTAAATCCACAAGTTTTCGGACGGGAGCGAATGAATATCACACTGACGGGCTACCAGAGGCATTGTGCCGTTGATACCCTGCTTCCCTGGTGAGACCCTCGATCGACCGATCCATCCATCCATCGACCGAGCCTCGATCGACCTCGACTCTCGATCGGCGGATCTCCCATCGATCCGTCCCCCGGTGCGCCTGGCGGCGGTGCAGCTCCATCTTCTCGCTGGCCCTGGCGCTGTCCAGCTGCTTGCGCGCCATCACCTGGCAGGGGCACCGACGGCGCACCCCACGCCCGTCCTGGCCAGGCCGATCCCGGGCCCAGGCTCGGCGCGCCCGCCCTCGCGGCGTGGGCAGGAAGGCGCATGCACCAAACCTGTGCCCCAGATCGGCCTGGCCGGGATCGGTGTTGATGCCAACGGCGACAGCACGGCGACAAACCTTGAGCAGGGGCACGACACGTTCTTAGAACCCCCAACATGTTCTAAGAGCAAAGGCCAGGTTCTTAGAACACAGAACCCCGATGTGCTCAAACAAGACAGTCCCAGCGAGAAAGGTTCTAAACACATGTTTCGCGGAAACCACAGAAAGGTTCTTAGAACGTTGTTTGGTAAGGCCATGAGCCCCCAGTGGGCCTCGGAAACGGCAGGGCCGTTTTTTCACCGTTTCCGAAAAAGTACCCCCTGAAAAGGGAGACGGCAAAAAAATGGCGACCGGAAACGGCAACAGAAACGGCTCCAGGATCGGAACCGCAGCGGGAACCCGTCGAAGAACGGCGACGGAACCAGTAAAAAAACGGCGCAGGGACCGGCAAAAGAACGGCACAACGGAACCGGCAACAAAATCGGCCCTGTCGCTTCCTGGGCCCCCCGAGGGCGAGCCGGGGACGCTCCGCCACCGCTTGCAAGCCTCTGCCTGGCGCGTCGCCGGCGGCGGCCCCCGGCGACACGCCGCGTGCTGCGAGCGTGCAGCGCGCCGCTCCGCTCCGCGGGGCGAGGGATCCAACCGTCTCGGGACGTCCACGCCCAGGGCCCGAGACCTCCTCCTCCCCCTCCTCCTCCTCCTCCTCCTCCTCCTCCTCCTCCTCCCTTGGCCTCGTCCTCGTGCATCCTCCTCCTCCCCCTCCCCCTCCTCCTCCTCCTCCTCCTCCTCCTCCTCCTCCTCCCTCTCCTCCTCCTCCTCCTCCTCCTCCTCCTCCTCCTCCTCCTCCTCCTCCTCCTCCTCCTCCTCCTTGTTCTCGTGCTCCTCTTCCTCTTTCTCCTGTGGCGAGCCAGAACAGGCGGTGCGGCACGCTGGGCCAGTGTTCCGTGTTCCCGACCGCAGCTTCCACATTAGGGGGAAGGGGTCCCGAGGGAAGCGGGTCCTGGAACCCCCGGGGCCATGCCCCAGGAGCGCGCATCTTTATGTTCGGCGATGGTGGGCATTATCGGGGAGGGGGGAGGTGTCAGGGGGGGTATAATGTAACGCCTCCCCCCCGCCGTGCGCACGGCGGCAGTGCCCCGCACTGAGGGCGGGGGCGTTGCGTTATAGGGGGAGTGCGGGAGGGGGGGCTGGGGGCTCTGATGCTCATTATGCCACAAATAAAGAAACACGCTCCAGGACGACTCTCCATCCTGAGTCGAGTTCTAGCAGCCCCCGGGGCCCGTGGAGGGCCCCAGGAAAACGAGACCGGCGACAGACCTCAGGACCCGTGTCCCTCAAGGCCCGACTTCCCCCCCTGGCGATTCGGTGGTGCCCGCCGGTCACCAGCGCCCTGGCCGCCTGGCTCTCCTCGCGGGCGAAGTCCGCGTCCTGGCTGCGCTCGCGCAGCTCCTCGTTCTTGAAGGCCGGGTCCTCGACCCACTGCCCGTCCGCGCCGCGCAGCTCCTCGACCTCCTGGCCCTTCTGCCACCTCACCTGAGGCCAGGGATCGACCTAAGCGTGAACTGGTCCCATCGTACGCACAAAGGCCACATCCCGGAAATCAGCTCGAACACCCAGAAAAACATAACCGTGTCTGCCCGACACGATGGCGAGGTGTCGAACGAGTATCGCCTCCCAGGGCCCGAGAGGTGCAAACCCTCCAGTTTCAGTACATACTTTTCTGGTGCTCCTGATTCTTTCTGGTGATCAAGACTACAGTAGGTGGGAAGATCAGAACCTAAACAATGTTTACTGCTTTCGTGTTGTTTCCGTTCTTCTTTGCTTCCCTCGCTGCAATACGACATCAAAACGAAGACGGCCCACGAGATCGCCAAAGTACCGATTTTAGATTTTAGGATCCCTGTGGCCAGATGCTCGTTCTGGCGGGCCTTCCCGGAGGTCACTCACTCCACTCGTGCGCCGTCGCTCCGCCGAGCGCCCACCGGCTCGAGCCGGACTCGAGCCGAGCTCGAGCCGAGCTCAAGCCGAGCTGTGAAGTCGAAAGGGTGCCGAGCTAGAGTCGAGCGACAGTCGAGCCAGAGCCAACCTAGAACCGAACCAAAGCCGAGCCGGAGCCGAACCGGAGTCGAGCCGGACCCGCTCGGGGGGCCCCACCGCGGACGTCCCAGCTCGCCTCCTTGCTCTGCAACTTCTCCGTCTGTCTCTCGAGGTCCTCCACGGCCTTGCTCTCCGTGTCGGCCTCCTGTGGTGGGCCTGCTTTCCACGCCACCACCATGAGTTGGAGGGGGAAGGAGGAGGAGGAGGAGGAGGAGGAGGAGGAGGAGGAGGAGGAGGAGGAGGAGGAGGAGGTGGAGAAGGAGGATGAGAAGGAGGAGGAGGAGGAGGAGGAGGAGGAGGACCCCCTCCCCCGCCAACTCATGGCGTTGGTGGTGGTGGAGAACAGGCCAATCATCCTTCTCCATGGAGTCGACCACCTTCTCGAGCAGCTTCTGCTCCCTCTCCTCCTTCTGGCTCGCGGACTCCGCGTGGCGTGTGAGGGCGTCCAGCTGGCGTTCCGAGATGTCCCGGTAGGCGTCCTCCTGGATGGCCTTCTCGGCCGCCTCCCTGGCACGGAACGCCTGCTGCTCGGCGAGCACCGCGTCCTTGCCGAACTGTCCCCCGACGGACAGGATGGCCTCGTCGACCTTCTCGGGCATCGACTTCATGGACTGGCCGAACTGCCTGATGTCTTCGGGTTCCATCCGCCGGCCCACTGGGAGGGCACAGGGGTACTCAAGGGGCCTGTTCCACTCCGAAAGGCACACGGCGCACGAATCCCCTCAGAACGGCCGAGAAGCTTCTTCCAGCAACCCAGCGGCTTCGGCCTGAAGCCCGAGAGGTTCAGATTCCATAAGAACGAAGGCGCCTTGAGAGACTAGAGGCCTCCTAGATGGGGTCGGAGCAGATGGGGTCGGAGCATCCCGCCACATCGCCGATGCATCGGCGATGCATCGGCGACGCCAGCGTGGAGCAAGTCGGGCTCTACATCGAGCCGCATCGGCGATGCATCACCGATGCGGCGCGATTCTCCGACCCCATCTACTCCGACCCCATCCGGGAGGCTAAGAGAAACCTATGAGCGCCTTCCAGACGCCACAACGGCCCCTTCAATCGACCCAAGAAGCGTCCGGGCGGGGGGGGGCGAGGGAGAACGCCCTGGGAGAAACGTACGAATGTCTTATCATAATAATGCGGTCCCAATATTAGAACGATGCGCCTTCGTATGCCACGTTTGCAGATGCGAAAAAACGCGCGACGTTCGTCTGAGAAGCGTGTATGCAATTCGGCAAGTGCGCGTGGCATTCAGGTGGGATCATTGTTTTTTTACAGGTGTGCTCATCATTCTGGCCCCACGAGAAGCGAATGGTATGCACATGGGAGCCGCACGGTCTTCAAACCAGAAGCGCATGGCTCTTTTCTTTTGATAAAATTGCTTTGGGAGAAAAAAAACATGGTTGGCTTCGGGGAAACGTATATTCACAGATGGGAAGCGCACAGCCTCGGGATGTGAACCGTATGGATCTCACATGGCGTTCATACGTCAAGCTAGATGCTCCCATTCGAAACAAATGCGTTCTTGCAGCTTGAAAAAAAAAAACGTAATATCTCGTATGGGGGGCTCTGGCTTAGATGCGAAACGCGCGTGCTGCTACCATGCTGAAGCGTGCAGCACACGCACTCATATCCGCCATGTGTGGCATGCATACGGCGAGGATAAGAACTCTGCACGGGGAGCGCCTGGTTAAGCCAATCGCTTTCGGACAGGAATCGTATCATGCTGCACACCAAAATAACGATACCGGACGACAAAGGGTGTGAATGTCACTTGGGAACCGCATGGTTTGCACATGCATGCATTTTCTGTTCATGTGGGAAACGCGTAGCTTTCATGAGATATGACTGCCTTCCGTATGGGAAACGCATGGCGGTTATGATACCCGCATACGGCCGCAAAACGGAAATTCAATGACTTTCGTACGCAAAACACGAGGCCATTAAAACATGCACGGCTCCCATATGGGAAGCAAATTTGGCTGAATAGACTGACGGCGCTGTGGTTAACATGGGAATCGTCTGGCTTCCACATGAGAAGCACACGGTAATCGTATGGAAGACGCTCGCTGTCTGACAGAAAGACGCATGCTTTTCGATTGAGAAATGTATCGCTTTCACAAGGAAAACCCACGGTGATCACATGAGAAGGGTCTAGCGTTCACATCAACAAAAACTGTTTCCCGTGAGCAGCCTCTCGCTTTTACATGCTATGCGAACGGCCACCATGTTGCGTTCATGTGGACGGACCGTAGCGCCTTCGCATGCAGCGCGTCCGCTTTCTACTGGCAGGCGTGTGGCGCTCATATGGGAAACGTATTGTTGCACCAAAAAACGTCTGATTTACATGACGAGCGTACGATTCCACATGCGAGTCTTTAGATGCAGGGCGCATGAGAAGCATGCGACCTCAGCCTGACATGCGCTCAGACCTGATGAGAAGCAAGTTGCTCGGATGCGGCAGGCGAACGGGCTTCACATGAGAGCCGCACGGCGCTCACATTGGAAACGTGCGGTTGGAATCCGGGTGGTGTAACCCGTCGGTTGTTTCTTCACGAGGTGCGCATGGCTCTGCCTTGAGGGATGGCAAGCGCGTGGTCTGTAAACCTCCTGGGAGCGCCCAGAAGCCAGAGAGCCGCCACGCTACGCTGCGCGACACGCGCGAAACGCAGCATTTACCCTGCTCACAGGAAGTTCAGCGCACAACGCCTCGTTAAATAGGGTAGGGGCGTTCACTTATGTGTTGCATGCCTGGAATATGTTTTACATTTGCATATAATTATATATATATATATATATAATTAAGGTGGGGCTTCACACGAGAAACGCAGTGCCGGTGACGCGCGAGAGCCGCACCCTCTGCCGCACGAAAACCGCAACGTTCCCCCGTATGAGGAGCGCGCGGTTGTCATATGAGCCTCGTAGTGCCTAAGAATGAAAATCGGCGGTGGACAGCCTCAGAATGAGCCTCGTAGTGCCGCTCAGTGGGACGGGTCACGCCCCGAGCACGTGGCGCGGCCAGCCCCGCCAGCGGGCCCGCGGCGGCTGCTGCACCAGTCGGCGGTGGACAAACCTCCCTTTAGTAAACCCCTCTTTAGCGAACACGGCCCAGGACCGAAACCGACGGACCTGGACCCGCAGAAATGACGGCCGCGACGCCCTCTCGCGAACCGAAAGCGGCAAATTCGCTAATCGACGTGTCAGGGTAGGAGGTCGATCAACCTCTGGGAAACCAGCTTCCAGGTGAAATGCATATGACTGTCTCGCTCGCCCTCCCACCACATTTTTCAAGCATGGTACCAACCTCCCCCATTGCCCTCCTCATACCAAAGGGGTGGATCATGTTGCATCAGGTCGCTCTTCATACCAATAGAATTAACAACACCACGCGGAAGTACCATTCGCGCCCGCGCGGCGGCGTGTGGGTCGATGGAGGATAAAAGGCTCTGGCAAAGTCCCGGCAAGGTCGACGCAGAGATGCTGGAACTCCTTGGCGCGGCCTTCGGGAGCGTCGAGAGCGCCCTGGGAACGCTGTCTCAACGAGAGCTCGAGAGCGCCCAGGAGCAGTGATCCATGGGTGGCAGGTCCCAAGATGTCCTCGAGATAGCGCCAAGAGGCAGATGGCCTCGAACAGCACCCAAGAGGCCTCCAGGATGACCAAGTCCTTCGAGGACTTTGTGTTTTTCAATGATTCTGGCTCTCTCGGAGCCTCGTTTCATATTGTCTTGCGAGGCCTCAAAGTGGCTCCAAAATTGCTCCAATGGCGTGGCGTCAAACGGGGCCGTGAAGGCCTCGAAGTGGGCTCAGGAGACCCCCGATCGCGCTCCAGGAGAAGAGCAAGACAGCTCCAAGAGGGCCCCAGGAGAGCCCAGGAGCGGCCCCGATAGCGGGATCAAAGAGTGTAGGTCGGGCATGTCCCCCTACAGGCGGAGTCTGGACGAAAAACGAAAAATCGGAGGTTGGGGGGTGAGATCGCAATGAAACGGAGCCCCCCACCGGGAAATCGGTTTCGGTTTCGTGCTCGTGTCGTGCGTGCGGGCGAGGCGAAGCTGCGCGTGATCCTCCTGTAGCTAGGCCGAAATAGGAGCGAAAGTCCGTTTCCCGTCCGCCGGTGGCCGGGAAGTGTGCAGTTGGGCCGGGCGGTGTCCCGGGTGTCCCAGGTGTCAGTAGAAGCGAAAACCCGTTGCCCGTCCGCCGGTGGCCTGGATGTGTCCCAGTTGGGCCGGGCGGTGTCCCGGCCCAACTGGGACACCTCCCGGCGCAACTGGGACACCTCCCGGCCCAGGTGGGATCTCATCGTCATCGCGATCATCATTGTGGTGGATGGAGATTCTGATAGAGAGGGAGAGAGAGAGAGAGAGAGAGAGAGGGCGAGAGAGAGAGAGAGACAGAGAGAAAGAGAGAGATGAGATCAAGGTGACAGGCTGGAGGTCAGTCAGGGTGTGCAGTTGATCTCAATCCCCCAAAACCTACTTATCGCCCGCAGGGCGGTCGATATATTCAAACATACTCAAACCTTTATCATAATAATCGTCCCCAGAGTGTTGCTGTACTATGTTTGAAATTTCCTCATGTAGAGGGACAGGCCCAACTTAAAAAGTAGCCCAAAAGCCCGTAGCCCTTGGCTTTCTCGCCCCCGTCGCTCCCTGTGGGCGCTGCCGAGGCCTCGGGAAAGGATGGCTGGCTCCCAGATCGCGCAGCTCAACAGCTCCAAGAGCAAGCCCTAAGACCCCCTCCTCCTCCTCCTCCTCCTCTTCCTCCTTCCCCTCCACCTCCTCCTCCTCCTCCTCCTGCTCCTCCTATTCCTCCCTTCCTCCTCCTCCTCCTCCTCCTCCTCCTCCTCCTTCTCCTCCCCCTTCACCTCCCCCAGTGCGCTCCAGGAGGCCCGAGGAGGCCCGATGGAGGGCCCAAGAACTGCACGACCAGGGGCCACGGGCAGCAAGCCTCAAGATGCCCCCCAAAGAAAGCCCCAGGAGAAACATAACGAGAAGGTCCGAGGTCGCCCAAGGTGGTCCCTCCCAGGCAGCTCCCAAGAGGCCAACAGGAGGCTCAACGACACACGTCAAGTAGTTGTTCACATGAAGCTCCTGAGTGAAGGGGAATTGGAACACACAAATAAATACACACAAATAAAAAGATTCCCCATATTTTCCCATATTTTCTGGGTTTCTGTATTCCCCCCCACTTCCCATATTTTCCCATATTTTCTGGGGAATCGAAGATTAATTGTGTCTGTGTGTTTCTTTTCCTCCTGACTGAGTGGCTCCCAAGGTGCTCCGACATCGCACGAAGGGGCTCAGATGAACTTACCGCATCCGTCTCCATCCTATCCGCATCGATTGCCTTCCCTCGCTTTTGGGACTCGACACGCGTCCGTGGACAACTGCCCTCAATATGCCCAGCGCGTGCTCCTCACCTGTAAGAGCTTCACAACGCCTTTTGGGGGACACTGCCGCCAACCAACCACTTCCCAATCACCACGAGAAAACAGGAAGACGGCAACGGTGAGAAACCATGGGCCGGCGGAACGGGCGAAGCGGCTGAACGTCGTAATCAGGATCGTGGCGCTCGAGCAAAAGCGCTCCTCCTGTGGAAGCAAAGGCGAATGCCGCAAAGATCCGCGCCATCGCTCCTCGAAGCAAGCGCGGCTTACGCGCTGTATGGAAGTGTGGCTGAATTGCCGGTAGAGTAAGATCAGAGCGAGTCTTCAGCGAAAACAGTTGCGGAAGGAGGAGGAGGAAGGGGGGCAAGCATGACGAGACTTCGGGCTGCGCGCAGGCAGCCCCCCGAAGTAGTCCCGGCTGGCCTCAACAGGCCCCCCAAGTAACTAGTCCGGGGCGGTCTCGGCACCCTTCGGGGGGAACGAGAGGGGGGGTAGCAAAGGGAAGGGTAGCGAATCAGCTCACGCAGCTGATTTTCCCAGCGCCTCGCCCATGTGGCGCGGAATGGGCCCGGCAGCGGGGCCGAAACCGGCTGCATGCAGCAGATGTCGGAACCCCCCTTTCCCCTATCTCCCCCCCCCTTTCGTTCGACCCGAACCCTGGGCCCCAACCCCGGGGCGCGGAGCGCCCCAGGGGCTCCGGCGGAGGCGGCGCCGTCGAGACCGCCCCGGGGCTCCTCGGGGGACCTGCGGAGGCCAGCCGGGACTGCCCGGGGCGGCGGTCTGCGCGCCACCCGAAGCCTGAGCCGGGAGGGGGAGGGCGAGGGAGGGAGCAGGAGCAGGAGCAGGAGCAGGAGGAGGGAGGAAGCGGAGAAGAGGGGAGGAAGCGGGAGCAGGAGGGGGGAGAAGAGGGAGGGAGCGGGAGCAGGAGGATTGGAGGAGTGGAGGAAGCGGACGAGGCGCAGCTGGCGCCCCGGTCGCTCGCTCCAGCGGTCTGCCTGAGAGAGGTAGGCGCAGGAGCCCCGGTGCACCGAGTAGCCGCTGAAGCCGCCGTTCTGCCTTTCTCTGGAGCTCGAGGAGGGGGGGGAGGAGGAGGAGGAGGAGGAGGAGGAGGAGGAGGAGGAGGAGGAGGAGGAGGAGGATGATGGAGGAGGGAGGAGGAGGAGGAGATGAGGAGAGGAGGAGCAGGAATAGGAATAGGAATAGAGAGGGCGAAGGAGGAGGAGGAAGGCGTAGGAGGGAATGGAAAGAGAGGAGGAGGATGAGGAAGAGGAGGAGGAGGAGGAGGAGGAGGAGGATGGGGGTCCTTGATCCGCCAGGCCCCAGGCGTGTGGGGTGGCAGCTGGCCGCCCCCCATCTACCGAACCCACAGGGTGACACGCCAGAGACGTCGGCGCCTCACTTCGCGCTCCGAGCGCGAAGCGTGAATAACCTTGCGCTCTCGCGCCGCCACCGAAAGAGGAGAGGAGGAGGAGGAGGAGGAGGAGGAGGAGGAGGAGGAGGAGGAGGAGGAGGAGGAGGAGGAGGAGGAGGAGGAGGAGGAGGAGGAGGAGGAGGAGCTGAAGCGCGAAGCGCGAAGGACTTCGTGCCGTCGAGGGCGCTCCTGCAGAGAATGGGCACAGCAGCGGAGTCCGAGCACGGCAGGCTCGTGTCGTGCCGACTTCGGCGTCGGTTCCTGACACCGCGGGAACCGTTCAGCCTTGAACGATCGGCCGTTTCCGAAACGTCGGAACGATCAATATCGAGCCATTCTGGGTCGTCGGCGGCGTTCAACGTTGACCGCCGGCGGCGGGGTCGCCGCCGATCGACTTGACGCGAACCTGCACTGGTGGGGTCCGAGCCGCATCGCCGATGCGTCGGCGATGCGGCGCGATCCTCCGACCAAGCCCACTTCGCCCCTATGTGTCAGGCCTGGGTCCCCCCTCCTCCTCCTGGTCCTCCTGGTCCTCCTCCTCCTCCTGTCTCCTCCTCCTCCTCCTCCTGGGGCACTCTTCCTCTTCTTGCTCATCCATCTCCTGATCCTCCTGCTCCTCCTGTCTCCTCCTGTCTCCTCCTCCTCCTCCTCCTCCTCCTCCGATTCCTGCTCCTCCTCCTCCGCTCCCCTCCTCCTCCTCCTCCTCCTCCGACTCCGACTCCAGCTCCTCCTCCTCCTCCTCCTCCTCCTTCTCCTCCTCCGCCTCCTCATCCCCATCCTCCTTTCAGTCCTGCTTCCTCCTCCTCCTGCTCCTCCTCCAATTCTTCCTCCCGCCCCAGACCCCCGGCGCCATGTCATTTTTCTTGACGTCGACCCCCAGAAATCTCCACCCATTCCCCGGGACCAGTTTTTCTCCTGCGAGGGCCCTGGGGCCCGGCGAGGGCCCCCAGAGGCTGAAAGTAGCGAAACAAGTGGCCCGTCGTGACATGTTTCATGATTCGAGGAGGTCCGCTCGCCATCCCTCACTCACTCCACATCCTTCTCCCTCCGTCGCTCCCCGCCCTCCCTTCCCTTCCTACCCCCCTCCCTCCCTCCACAATTACTCAATATGAAAATACTCTCCCTCTTCCCCTGATGGCGTCCGGGTGATGGCCGCGCACCCTCCGCGTACTGTTTTTTTACACACAGGATGCCCGGGAAATCCCGGGAAACGACTCTCGCTGAGGCGCCGGCGTCATTTTTTCCCAAAATGCTGCTCTCGTTGAGGCGCCGGCCTCATTTCTGCTCACGAATCGTTCCGAATCGTGCTCCCGCTGCAGCGTGGGCCTCATTTTCGGATCGGTGTTTGGCCTCCGTCGTTCAGGATGGCGTTCTCGCCCCAGCGCGGGCCTTTTTCTCGCGCGCCCATCCGCCCGCCACCACCGCGCCGCACCGCAACCACCACCACCACCACCACCACCACCACCACCACCACCACCACAACCACCACCATCACCAGCAACCATACCACACCACCACCACCAGCACCATCCACCACCACCAGCCCACCAACACCACCATCACCACCCCACCACCACCACCACCACCACCACCACCACTAGTTACCAAACCACCACCACCACCCACCATCCCACCACCACCACCACCTACCACTGACATACCACGCACACACGACGCACGCTCACACACGCATCGTGCAACCACCACCCACTAAATACTACGCACAGCGCGCCGGAGCCACAGGTCCGCATACGACACGCGCTCCGCGGATGAGAAAATCGCGCCATGGTAAGGGATGGGAGGGAGGGGTAGGACGTCAGCTATGACGCGAGCGCACCTAGCTTGCCTCCCTCCCCTCCCTCCCCTCCCCTCCCCCTCCCTTCCCCCTCCCCTCCCCCTCCCTTCCCCCTCCCTGTCCACATCCCTCTCCCTCCCTTCCCCCTCCCCTCCCCTCCCCCCTCGCCCGGCAGAGGGGTCGCCCCGCCGCCACGAGGAGGTCCAGCTTGGTGCCCCCCCCGGCGAGCAGCTCCGCCTGGGACACCGTCAGCTGCGTGCCCGCCTCGGGGCGTGCGCTGGGCGGAAGAGGCTAGGAGGCAACTCCTGGGAGGTTGTCGTCGGAAAGATTCACCAGGATTGAGCCCCATTTGGGAGCGGTTACGCCGGAGTGGGCCTCGGACTACGCAGGATTAAGCCGGATTAAGCGGTTAAATCCAGCTTATAAGCTGGATTTAGCCAGATTTCGGACCAGGGCGAAAACAGAATTTGACCTCCCAGGAGTTGCATCGCCAAAGAGGAGGGCGAGCAGCGAAAGCCACGGCCGGACCCGAGACAAAAGAGCACCCTCCAGGAACATGAGACCCTCCGCCGGCCAGACCACACCGAACATCCAAGGGTGCCTTCCCCTAAGACGCACCAGAACATCCAGCAAACTCGAACACACATCGGGGCACCCTCCCCGAACCGACCTTGATCTTTTCCTCGGTCCGACGGTATCCCGAATTGCTAATAAGATTATCCTGGCGAAGGACCCAACCATATGCAAACGTGAATACCGCAGGGCAAGTGGGACGAAGCAAAAGGAATTCTCTATGGGGCCACGATCCTCGTGAGGGGTGTGCCGAGATGGCCCGAGGCCGCCATGCGAACGCTGCAACTGGCGCCTTCGGTGGGGCTCCCTTGTGGGGCCACGATCCTCGTGAGGGGTGTGCCGAAATGGCCCGAGGCCGCCATGCGAACGCTGCCACTGGGGCCTTCGGTGGAGCTCCCTATGGGTCCACGATCCTCGTGAAGGGTGCGCCAAAATGGGGCGGGGCTGGGGCCTTCGGTGGAGCTCCCTATGAGTCCAAGATCCTCATGAGGGGTGCGCCAAAATGGGGCGGGGCCACCATGCGAACGCTGCCACTGGGGCCTTCGGTGGGGCTCCCTATGGGGCCACGATCCTCGTGAGAGGTGTGCCGAAATGGGGCGGGGCCGCCATGCGAACGCTGCCACTGGGGCCTTCGGTGGGGCTTCCTATGGGGCCACGATCCTCCTGAGGGGTGCGCCAAAATGGGGCGGGCCCGCCATGCGAACGCTGCCACTGGGGCCTTCGGTGGAGCTCCCTATGGGGCCACGATCCTCGTGAGGGGTGCGCCAAAATGGGGCGGGGCCGCCATGCGAACGCTGCCACTGGGGCCTTCGGTGGAGCTCCCTATGGGGCCACGATCCTCCTGAGGGGTGCGCCAAAATGGGGCGGGGCCGCCATGCGAACGCTGCCACTGGGGCCTTCGGTGGAGATGGGGCCACGATCCTCGTGAGGGGTGTGCCGAAATGAAGCGGGGCCGCCATGCGAACGCTGCCACTGGGGCCTTCGGTGGAGACTCCCTATGGGGCCACGATCCTCGTGAGGGGTGGGCGGGGCCGCCATGCGAACGCTGCCACTGGGGCCTTCGGTGGAGCTCCCTATGGGGCCACGAAACGCTGTACTGGGTCCGCGAATGCGCCAAAATGGGGCGGGGCCACCATGCGAACGCTGCCACTGGGGCCTTCGGTGGAGCTCCCTATGGGGCCACGATCCTCGTGAGAGGTGTGCCGAAATGGGGCGGGGCCGCCATGCGAACGCTGCCACTGGGGCCTTCGGTGGAGCTCCCTATGGGGCCACGATCCTCGTGAGGGGTGGGCGGGGCCGCCATGCGAACGCTGCCACTGGGGCCTTCGGTGGAGCTCCCTATGGGGCCACAAAACGCTGTACTGGGTCGGTGAAACGCAGGGAGGAAGGGGGAGGAGGAGGAGAGGAGGGGAGACGCGGGCCACCGTCTCTTCAAAACGAGGACCCAACACCACAGGATGGCTGGGAACAAAAAGCGCGGGCGTGGGTCGAGTGGGCAGGTGTCGGAATGAGCTGTCCAGCGCTGGGCGCGGGATGGTTGGATCGCGCGAGGGGGTGGGTTCGGCCCGCGGGGAGGGGCCGAATGGACCGTCGGGCGGATGCATGGGGAAAATGCGGACTACTCATCACGCGGAGATCGCAGGGGAGCGCAATAGTAGTAGAAAGACAGGTGGTCGTAGTAGTAGTAGTAGGAGTAGTAGTGGAAGTAGTAGTAGTAGTAGTAGTAGTAGTAGTAGTAGTAGTAGCACTAGTAGCACTAGTAGTAGTAGTAGTAGTAGTAGTAGTAGTAGTAGTAGTAGTAGTAGTCGTAGTCGTAGTCGTAGTCGTAGTCGTAGTCGTAGTAGTAGTAGTCGTAGTAGTAGTCGTCGTCGTCGTCGTAGTACTAGTACTAGTAGTAGTAGTAGTAGTATTAGTAGTAGTAGTAGTGGTAGTAGTAGTAGTAGTAGTAGTAGTAGACGTAGTAGTCGTGGTAGTAGTAGTCGCAGTC